ACAGTCAGAGAGGTGAACCTTATTTCAAGTTGGTCTCCAACAGAACCCCTGTTGGACCCTGAATGTGGAAGTCATGATTTGAGTGTCCCCCTCCCCAAGCTGTCTCACAGGTTGGTTCACACGGGAGCTGGAGGAGGGGACCAGACACTGGAACTCATGCAGAACGGGTGTTGAGCCATTCCTGGACCTTCAGTAGGTCCCTGGCGCTTGGTCATGCCCAGGAGGACTGGGGCCCAGGTGACCTGGAGGCAGCTCCCGGGACAGCTGGTCACCCTCTGCCCCTGGAAACAAATCCCAGACACCTAGGAGCAAGGCCTGCGGAGGCCAACAGGGAGCCTGGGAGTGGGCAGGTCCCCACCTCTTCAGGGTCCACTATGGCACAGACCCAGAGAATACCGCTAAGAGGACATAAGGCCAACAGGAAATTCACCAAACTTAAGAAGGAACAGACCCTGATGTAGGTCTGTCTCATAATGATGTACATCTTAGAAAAATCTTAGAACAGCATCAATTAAAGGAGTAGTTCAGGGAAAGTCCAGAGCCTCTTTCTGACGGTCCCTGGTCACTTGGCTGTCACGCGTCTTACTTTCTCTCCCAAGTACACTCGGGAGCTTTCTGGGGGCCACGCTGCCCGGTGACACCCCTGCTGGGCAGCCAGGAGCACCTGCCTGTCCATTCCTCTTGTTCAAATTAAACAAAAACATCTCTTACTGGGCTCAGTTCTGTTAAAAAACACGGCAAATACCAACCACCATAGTCCACGGAGCAAAAGCTCTTCGGCATCTTCAGTAACTTCAGGAGTGCAGACACCCCGAGACCAACAGGTCTGAGACTCACTAAATCAGCCACATTCCCAAACAGCAAGCTAGCGGAGTCAGAACAGAGAAGCGGTTTGCAAATAACGGCACTGGATCGCGGTTGACGCGGATCGTGCTGCCGTGAAAGACACAGGCGCTGTGACCGCGTGCTCCAAGAGTCCCAAGCTCACCGTGTGAGTAAAGCAACCTCCCCAGGAGCACCTGCGGGACGGGCTGGCCCAGCTGACAGGTGACATGTCCACCTCTGTTCCTCTACAACTACAGAAGCAGCGATGCAAACTTACCTAAGTATCTTGGGTAAAAATAGTCCTGTGGAAAAAGAAAAAGAAGGGGCGACAGTTTACTGGCGTGGCCTGCACTCCCCACACAGTGCCCACAGCAGCTGGCGGAGGGCCTCGCCTTCCTCCCCAGTGGGCACAGACAGGCACCTGGGCGGGGCAGGTGCGTGAGGAAGGCGGGGAACTCTCCACAGCTGGCTCAGTGACAGCAGGGCAGAACCACCCAGAAAGCCACTTTACGCCTCAAGGACCATGGCGTGAGGAAGAAGAGGGAGGGTGCGGCCCAGGCCGCTGTCTCGGCCGCTGCAGAATGATGTCTGCCTGGACCTTCTGTAAGCGGCAACGGGGATGTCATTTAAGGGACCCAGTGTCTCACAGGAGGCGGAGGGCCGGGAGGAAGATTGTCTGGACCCTCGCTGACACCGGGCTCCTCCCAGAAGCATGCAGACCCCGCGGGGCCATCCACACGCAGGCGCTGACTTGCACCGACTGTTTGTACAAGGAACTGGTGCTGGGCGAGGTGTGGAGGGTGCAAGGGAAGCAAAGGTCCTTTCCGTCCGTGACCGTGAACTAAGAGCGCTGCACCATACCAGCTGTCTGCCAAATACTAGGACCACTTGCCCTGTCTTGGCCAGCAGCAGAGAGCAGCTGGAATTGTCCCCAGGGTCATTGGCCCCACCCGTCCACCATCATCTCTCACTGAGGGTCAGTCACAGCGTGGCTTAGCCCTAGATGCTCCCCTGGACGGGACCAGGTTGCTACACAGCAGCACCCACCGAGGAGGGGTGCCCACTACAGGTGCTGTGATTGTATGTCCTTCCATCTGACCCTCACAACCGCTCCAAGGTCTTTTCAATTAACCCCGTCATCAGAGAGGAGGAAACCGAGGCTCATGACGGGTCGTGGAGTTCAACCAAGGTTAGGAAGCCAGGTCGGACTCCCGACAGCACACTGGGATCCAAAACCACACTGAAAGGAGCTGGTGTGTCATCTGCAGTGATGGGCCCCCACAGTTAGCTGGCCTCACGCCATGGTCTGGCACCTCACCTGTCCCCTTCCCTCGCTGTTTACAACACTTTGCTAAGACACCCATCAGAAAGTCATGTTCTGATAAAGACATGACTTAGACTCTTAACTCCTTTAAAAAAAAGTAATGGTCAGAGCAAGTTTGTATTTCAGCTTGGATCACGGTTGTGAAGGTGACATTCAGGCAGGTGTGACAGAGGCCAGGTCTGGCAGGCAGAGCCACACAGCCAGGGCGGGGACACCCCTCCCCACCAGCATCCAGAGGGCCCTGACGGCCTGGTTTCACTTCTCCATGCTGCTTTCAGTCATGGACTGGCCACTCCCAGACAGGAAAGGCAAGCGAGGCCAGGCGCACTCAGACGAAGCCCCCAGAGCTGAGGGCAAGCAGACAGGGACATCTGCCGGGTTTAGAGGGAGAGCAAAGGCCACAGACTTTGTCACAAAGGGAGGGGCTCTGGCTCTGAAAGAAAAGACCTAGGATGCACGATGTGTCCACTCACAAAACCAAGAATTAGACTATGAAGGAACTAAAGACACTGAGGATCTGTGAGCAGAGTTCCCAGTTGTCATAGACGTGGCACCTGCCACAGGAAAGCTATTCTGTATGGTCATAAATGTGGCACCTGCCACAAGAAAGCTGTTCTGTATGGTCATAAACTTGGCACTGCCACAGGAAAGCTGTTCTATATGTTATCCAGAAAGCTGTATTATATTTTTCAAAGCCCTATTACTAGCTATGTGTCATGTGTTTTAACAGCGATTGTATTGTTCTGGAAGAGCCTCGCTGACCGAAAAGCCATGTGCCCTTCCCTTAAGTTAATCACACCCATGGGAATGTGGTTTCCAAAACCATTGGGCCATAAGCTGGTGACAATTTATCTTAATTTGTGTGCTTGATTTATTTGGGGTGAGAGGGGTGCTCATTTGGCTGGCAATCTAGGACAGAGATGATTAACCCCGAGTAACAGCAAAGCTAAGACAGATGCACCTAAAACCACTATGCGCTCTCCCAAGAGAAAGAGACATTTCTAATTGTCCTTCAACGTTCTGACCAAAGAGGAAGACCTATGGAAATCTCAGTGAATGAAGGGCACTGGACACAGAACAGAGAGCCGGCCCCACCTGCACCACAAGTTGGTCACACATAAACTGTGGCCTGAGGCTCAGGAACTGGGCTGACTCCCATGAGCATCACCCTCCCAGTGATCCACGGAGCAGAGGCCACAGTTCAGATGGCCAGATTCAGAACCAGGGATCGGTTGCCTACAAACTTACCCTTTCTTTTTGACCACACAAGGAGGCGTGTGAGGGCCTGGCTGGGGTCAGGAGCAGGGAATGGGCAGACCAGCCAGCAGGAGGCCAAGGCCACCCAGGTTGGAAATGAAGCCGTCTGTCACCTGGCAATCATTTTTCTCAGGAGTTTGCTTCTGCTTTACTTAAACAGCTAAAGATACAAAGAAGTGAGCAAAACTGCAGGCCACTAAACTGTGAGCTGAAGATCCCAGAGGGGAAGGTATATGCCCGATACCTGGCCTGGTGCTGACTATGCCTCAGAAGGCCCTCAGGAGCCATTGCTAAATGGGTGAATGAATGGATAGATGAATGGAAGAATGAGTAAATCGATGGGTGGTTGGATGGGTGGCTGGCTGGCTGGGTGACGGATGGATGGATCAAAGGAAGAATGCATGGATGGCTGGGTGTATGAATGAATGAACAGGCAAATGTAGAGTCCTACAATTTTCACTGAGTTGTTGATTTTATTTATAACAAAGCTAAGCACACTGGGAGAAATACCTAAATCGGTGCTCTCAGCTTGTGTCTTCCAAAACTCAGAAATATCAGTACTACGTTTCCTCAAGCTTACAAACTGCCAATGCATTTTTGAACTTAGATCCTTAGATGAACTGCCATTTGCCAACCTCTTCTTCCACCATTCATTCCAAGGACCCTACTCTCTGAGGAGGCGATGAGACATGGTGCATGTGTGATTCAACAACTGAGTCATCACTCCTACTAGTAGGGACTGCCCGTGAGTGAAGTGGCCCCGTGTGGAGCTCACACCCCACCTACGGGGAGCACCTGGTTCTGGGAGGATCAGTGTGCTGGTCTTGGCCAAGAGCCCACTGGCCGCACACCCTCATGTAAATGGAGTTGGATGCTCCAACAAACCCGGCCTTCCCTGGGACGCATTCTCCCATGCTTCTGTTCCCTGCAGGTTTGTAAACACAGGAACCTGTGCCCAAAGCACCTTCAAGGCCTGAACCCAACGACAGGCTCGGTCCACTTGCGTCTAACGTGAGGCCTAGCAGTTTGCTCTGAAACCACAGGACGATGTTTCTGTGAGACGGTCTCTTCCACGTCTGCTCCTTAATCGTGCCGTCACCCACCTGGCCCCTTTGCTAAGAAGGGGAGCACCAGAAAGGACAGCAAATAGGTGGCTGGTGAAATCCTCGACAAGTCCCATCTGCAGACAGAACCTCCCACCTGCCTCTGCCCCATGCTGACCACCGGAACCCTGGTCTGCCACACGGGGTCTGTGCCTCCAGAGTCTCCCATGTGGCAACAGTCAAGAGCATCAGGGAGTTGCCCACCCTCCCCGTGGGGCAAGGTTGCGTGTGGGCTGTCCACCTGCCACTCACCCCTCTCCTACTTTGGGACAGTCAGTTCTGGAGTTGGAACTCCAGAAGCTGTGACCACGACGAGGTCCTTGCCCAGCAGCCTGCCCAGCCTGCTGAAATGCCCTCCAAGCACCCAGCCTGTGCACCTCTTCCCAGGGGCCTTCTGAGGCTTGGTGGGGTTCTTAGTGGTCTCTCTATAAACTTGACGCTCTGAGAGCAAATCTGCCTTCCAAAAATGGTCAAAAACCACACAAGCCTAGTGGGTTAAAATGCACGTTATTAAGACAGAAACATCACCTGGGCTCACAGTGTGAACTGAGCACAGTTGCCCTCTTGTAGCTCATGAACAGGACCACATGCAGCTGGGAAGGTTCTAGAATTTGGCAACTGACACCTCGTACGTGCCTTCATGTCCAAACTACTTTAACTCTTTGAGCTCCTCCCAGGCTGGCGCAGTCCCTGCAGGGACAGGGTAAGCCAGGGGGACCTAGACAGCTTCCGGCCCTGATGCTGCGGCTCACCTTCAGGGCAGTTGCCTTCTTCCTGCCCTCTGACGCATATGCAGGTTAATGGGAGGCTCACTGCCAGGAGGGCCGAGACACCAGCGCGTTAATGGACGTGGAAACTGCTTTGCAAACACATCAGCATCAGCAGTGCGTAAGTCTTTTTGGCGTGGAGTACCCAGCACTTTCATCTAGTTCACACGACATAATAGGAGGCACACATCGCAGCATAACAAATGGTCGTTACTTTTCAAACAGGAAATTAAGAATTTCTTACTTCCTTTAATAAATAACTGCCCGAAATTTTGTTTCCAAAACTCCTTACGCTATTTGACAAAGTGGGCTGAGACTCAAGCGTCACAATAACTGCTTATTTACGTGATACAAATACAAGGTGTCTTCCTGAGAAGCGGTCCACAACACTGACTAATCCTTTAACCTTAATGTTGTCTTGTTAGTAAACTTGACTTCTAAGGGAAATACTGTCCAAGTCACATCAACTTGAATCGTCATTATGGAGGCTTCTGCTTTGCGGTAGCTGGAGGAAGTCACAACAACGGTCTCACGGTTTTTACGATGGCTCCCGGAGAGATTCCCAGCTATCGACGGGCAAGCTTTGGCCCCTCAGCCTGCAGGGACCCTGACAGGTTCTCAGTCCCCCAGGCCAGCATCACTCAGTCTGTGCATGTTTCTCTAAGCGTGGTTCACACAAAATCCCTCTGTCGTCTTCCCAAGTTCATCTCCTCTAAGATTCTCCAAACCAGGGGTCTGTTTAAGCACTCCATGAGACCAAAGGAAACACGGACACCCCCTACCTACCCCTGCCAGGCCCACAGGGCCTCCAGGTCAGCCCTGCAAGGAGGGGAGCAGGCCCCAGAAACACCCCCAAGGCCACAGCGCTCCCCTCCTTCCTGAGACGCTAATGTGCACGTGTGTTGTTAAAAATTCCTGTGGGGACAACACGCAGGTGCACAGATAAAAGCTGGGGACTGCAGCTCTGTGGATCTGTGCAGCGGGATTCCTGCAGCCGCACGCACCCCCACGCCCCCAGAACTAGCCCCTGGCGCCCAGCACATACCAGCGAGATAAGCACAGGGGCTGAGCCAGCCGAGTCCCGGTGAGTGGTGAGAGCCAGCTGGAAAGCTGGGTTCTCTGGGCCCTTTTCATAACCAGCTTTAGGATGAATCAGTGCCCATGTGCGCGTCACCACGTACAGGCTGTGTAGACACTTCTCGCCTCAGAAGGTCAATCACTTCAGAGTTAACATGCTGACCTTGGAGGCTGGGACCTGAGTTTCCATCTGTGTCCTCCCAGTGAAGAGTGAACTTGGGCAAGTCCCCACATAGATTCCTGGGCCTCAGTTCACAAGCATCTGGAATAAGGGCCACCACGTCCTATGACCTTGTGACGAACACTACTGCAATGTTCTTGTCTGTTTCTGGCTTAGGGAAAGGAATTTTAAATGCATTTTGATGCCCCTCCAGACATGCTACATCATGGCGTGCATGTGAGGTGCACGTGAGATGTTCCATGCGTATCTGGCACGGGGTAAGCCTGGGGTGTGCATGGGACAACCCAGAACCTGCATCTGAGGAATGCAGCCTCAGCAATCATTCGGGGCCGGCCCAAGGTGACTCTTCCATCACAAATGGCTGGTCTGCTACGAGACAGGGCAGGTGGGAAGCACCCTCTCCTACTCCCGGCCCCTGGCAACTGCCAATAGCAACCTGCCAACAGGATCTTCCGTTTCAATCTGAAGCATCGTACTATAGAGGCATGTGTCCAAACCAGTCACCCAGGCGGTTGCACCTGCAGCCACGTCATGCCAGTCCTGGAGGATGCCCCAGCACAGCCTCAGTGGCCCCCGGGTGGAAGCAGAGGCCTGCCCCCAGGGGCTGGCTGATTCCAGCTGTGTGATTTTCATGGAGAGCAGTGTTTCAAGAAAAGCCCTGCGCAAACCAGGTCTATGTAGCAGGTTTGGGGGATAGATGTGGAAAACTGTGTAGTACCATGGGCACTGATACCAGAAAGAAACAATTCTCAAATCTGACAAAAGAAGTCTGAGGAAACAAGTATGATAGTATGGGGTTCAAACTATCTCATTTGAACAACACATCTGTCATCGTGCGATCACTGGGAGCAGGCCGGATATTGTTCTGGAACTTCAAGTCCTCTTGAAAAGTTATTATAAAACTTCCAATGAACTGCACCCCATCAAGGTCCAAGTTCACAAGAACACGGCTCACAGTGGGGCCCCCGGACCAGCACTGCAGAGGCACAGAACATTCCCGACGTCAGACACTAACCCCTGAGCCTCAACAGATGCTGCATCACAGAAACAGCTCCCAGTGCCAACCCACCCACCCCAGGGAAGAGGGGCATGGAGTGTGAAGACAGTGGGTCACCTGTCAGCATGACTGGAACACAGGGATGACCCGGGAAGTGTCTGGAAAATCCTGGCCCCAGCTACTTGGAATCTCAAGCAACAGGCCATAAGCATCAGAGTCTTAGAAGGCTGTTTTGCTTCTACAGCGTTTTCCAAAACGTCTTTAATTGGCTTTCGGCAGACGTTGGGCCCACTGGCAAGGACCAAGTGTCATCCACTGGGCCTGGTCTGTAGAGGCTGAACAGCACAGCTGAAGTGCCTGCAGACGCCCAGGAGAGAACCCAGTGTGGGACAGCCAAGTAGGGCCAGTCCTGCCTCAGCGGCACCCCTGCCCCAGGCCTTTCAGCTCAGCAGCAGCCACCTCAAGACAGAGCAGAACCAGCCCCACAACGGCGAATCCAGCCCGTGACCAGCTTCCCTGTGGCCCCTAGGGGCGAAAGCCCAAGAAGGAGAGGGTCCAGGAGGGGAGGCCACGGTCCACAAGAGCTGCTTCCCTTGAGAACCCCAAGAAAGGAGATGGGCAGTGTGTGTGTGGGGCAGCGTATGCAGGCCACCTGCAAGGCAGCGGTGGGGTGGTGGTGGGGGCAGGTGGGCAGCCGGTGGCTGTCCTGGAGGTCACAGCCGGTATGTCACCTCCCCAGCCAGGGCACCCGCATTGCAGAGGCAAGTCGTGGCAGGGGTTGGGGGGAGTGGTGACCAGGTGCCCTCTTCCTCCCTCCCACCCTCCTACTGGGGTCTTCGTGAGAGCCCTTAGGCCTTAGGCTGGAAGGTAAGACTTTCATCTCTGTAGGGGTACCTGTCCCCAAGCTGTCCTGAAAGAAACAGGGATCTCAGGAAGACAGTGTCCTTGGAGGCCAGCAGCACTGCAGGGCTTTGAAGCTGACTGTACCCATAAAACCCTCCACCAGCACCACCGGGCTCCCCCACATCCAAGAGACATGGAGGAGGTGGGAGGGGGAGACATGGAGAGAGACGGACAAGGGGGACACGTGAGCTCAAGCACTGGCCGGCGGTCATGCACCTGTGACGTGAAGCCTTCCAGGTGCGCTGCTGGCCGTGCTGCGAATACTGTCTGCCCTCGAATTTAACGAAGTGCTGGGTCAAGGCCAGGGCCTGGAGTTTCTTTCCTAGCACCAGGTTGTGGCTGCCAAGAGCGGGTTCCCAAGAGGGGAGGGCTCCCAGGAGCTGGGAGGCAGGTAGGGTGGGGCTGGCTAAGTCTTTTGTCCAGAACCCTTTCCGGAAGCGAAGGCCGATTACTGAGACGGCCTCGGGCGTCTGGAACCCGCCAGCCTTAAAGGATTTAAGTAGAAGTCGACTCTGCTGGGCTGGCCAGCGGTGAGCTTAGGAGAATCCCAGCACAGAAGGGGTCTTGTGAATGGAAAGCGATACTGAGGACAAGCAAGGAGAGGGCGAGCCAGCGGGGAGCGTAGCATGTGAGAGGAAACAGATAGGGAGGGAATCAACTGTCCCTGAGCCCTGCAGAGGAACGTTAGCCCTGGCAACAATGGGGAGCCTGGGACACTCCCCAGGGGCCTGAGGAGTGAGGGGGAGGACTGTCTGCTCCCAGGAGGGAAGCAGGAGGGTGAACAGGATGTCAGGAAGCCCCCCCACCCCAGGCCCCCTTCCTTTCCAGCACAGGTGTGTGATAAGGCTGGAATCAGGAAGGAACCATTGTGCTAGCAGCTACCTGCTGTGAAGGTCACTTCCCTTCCCAAGAGAAAGACAGCCTAGTCAGGAACAATCCGGATCAGGCAGGAACAGCCCACCCAGCTAGCAGTCAGCACTCCAGCACAAGCCTCCAAACACCAGAAAGTACATCTGCAGCCCAGAGCTGGCCCTCCAGGTGCTCAAGCCCACCCAACCTGGGGGGCAGGGCCCAGCTCCCGCACGCTCTCCTTGGGGCTCGCTCACTAGTGCGCCCCCAGAACCGCAGGATCAGAACCGGAGGGCAGTGGTGCCCTCTCTGCCAGCAGGCCAGAGCAGGACCAGGTGGCTGTGTATGCCTTCCACTGAGCCCGACCCTGAGGACAGGGTGGCCCCTTCCAGAGTGCCCCCATGGTGGTGAGGGTGACTCCTAACCCTAGCCTGGCTCCTCCCAGCATGCCACAAGCCAAAGGCCAAACAGTCTTCACTACGGTCTACACAAGATGCAAGGTACAGGTTCAGGTGAAGGGTTTGCAACCCAGCTGACCTTGAGGGACGACCCCGAAGTAGCTGGTATAACCTGGGAAACTGGCAAATGAAGAGAAGGATGTAGTTACTATTGCCGCCAGGGAGTGGCGAGGAGGACAGGATCCTGGAAAACCACGGACTGCTTTCCTATGAAAGAAGTTCACAAGTTTCTGCTGTAGGGACGAGGATCCCTGGAGGCTGGGGCGGCCATGACCTCCCTTGCAGGAATGCGCCCAGAGAGCACTGGCTGAGTTAAAATCATGGGTCCTGGGGCTTGGGTGGCGCAGTCGGTTAAGCGTCCGACTTCAGCCAGGTCACGATCTTGCGCTCCATGAGTTCGAGCCCCGCGTCAGGCTGTGGGCTGATGGCTCAGAGCCTGGAGCCTGTTTCCAATTCTGTGTCTCCCTCTCTCTCTGCCCCTCCCCCGTTCATGCTCTGTCTCTCTCTGTCCCAAAAAAAATAAATAAACGTTGAAAAAAAAAAATCATGGGTCCTGAGCAAACACACTTTTCCTTCTCTTGCCTTTGTGTCAGACGTTTATAAATAAAGTTACGATTAAAACATAAAAGCAATTAAAATCAGCGAGGGGATTAATGCTCTGGGAAGAAGGATACTGTGGCTAACACACAGTGTGTCCAGGCAGCAAGGAAAAGCCAGGTCAGGCCCTGTCGTTCTGGGCAAGCACAGCCGGGAGTGGCCCCGGGGGTGGACAGTAGCTTCAATTCTTCTCAACTGTGAGCCCCCTCCCAGGGTCTCTGTACAAGGTCTGGGGGCTGGGGAGCCCCGCTGCACCTGTCACACAGTCCTGCAACCGGGCAGGGACCTGCTGGCCAGGCACATGGCCCTGTTGCTAGGCCTTCAGAAATCCTCTGCAGGGGATGACTCATTGGGCCACCAGGTTCGTCATTAAAGAAACCGGAAAACAGGCCAGAAAAGACCAGCAGTGCTGCCCTTACAGGAAGATGGAACTGGTGCTGCTATTGACGTGGAAAGCAACGGCCCTGGAGAAAACAACCTTCTCAGGCCCACCCCACGGCAGCAACTCGCACAAGAATTGCTGGGGGCCGGCCATCTCCTCAAAGCTCGCTTCACAACGGCCTGGAAAGGGTTGTCAGGTCAAATGGTGAGAAATACCAGGGAAGACAAAGCCTCTGTGGGCCCCACAGAGCTATCCATTTATTGCACACAGTGTTTATTTTATCCCAGAATTCTTTAGAAGAAACATTCCGGTAGAACCAAAAACGTCTGTGGAGTCACCCTGACCTCATGGTATAAAGCCCATCCGATTTGCACACTGGCACTCTCCAAGGGCATCTGCCCCAGGACTGATACACACGCAGGGTCCCGTGGGTCCCCTCCCGGGGAGGGCAGAGCTCCTGCACAGATGCTGAGTCCACACGGGCTGTTCCCTGCTGTTGGCTGCCTGCCGCCCCACACCCCCCAAGGACGTTATTAATAGTCACGTCCTGAGCCAGCACAGCCAGGCTCCCAAAGTCACCAGCTGCTTGTAAAGAGCACCTTGCTGAAGGAGGCCTCCACAGGGCACCCTGGCGGGGGGACCCCTGACCCCAGCCCTCCTGCCCACCCCTCCCACAGAAGTCCTGGTCCTATTTCCGTTTTGGCTTTCGGGACCTGCTGTGGCAAGCGATCCCAGAGGCCACGTCTTTCATTTCCTCTTTCAGGCACACAGTCCATACCCCTTGGTGAAGATCTAGGGGCTGCGGGCAGCCCACGCCTCACTTCCGGTCCATCTAAGGGGGGGTGGCAGGAAGCCCTTTAGGCTTTTACCCACTGTATTCCTCTTACATCTTAAACACTGAGGAGGTGTTGCCTCTTGCACATTTCCCTGAAGGCGGCTGCCTTCAGAGGCCTGCTGACCAAGGTAATGGGGTCTCAAGAGGACCCATTCACGCACCTGCTTACAGCTGTGGGAGCACCTGGGGTCACCAGGAGAGATGGGGCCCAAAAGGTGTGCAGGAGCCTTGACGGTGGGACCCAGGGCCCCCCGCCCCCCCTCCAGCACTCCTGACTGGGAGACCTGACTGCAGCCCCGGCACCCCTAACACCAAGGCTGTCTGCGCAGCGGGGAAGGGGCGTCCCCGCGAGGCTCCCCAGCAGCGCGCAAGGAGGATGTTCCCAGACCCCAGCAGCGGGACTGCGCGCGCTCACCGTCTCGGGGTCGTTCTCGAACACCTCCCGGGCCTCCTCCTGGCTGCACAGCTCCTCAATGCATTCCCTCTCCAGGTGGCCCTGCTTGGCCTCCTCGAAGACCTGGTAGGCGCGTCGCTGCCGGGGCCGCAGGAACTGCGCCGCCTCTCGCGCCCGCAGCATCACAGCTGCCCGGACGCGGGCGGGAGGACGACGCCGGGAGAGAGCGGGGACGGAACGGGGACACGCCGTCAACCCCGCCCCGCACGCGCCGTCCTCTCGGCCGCCAGCACCCCAGGGACGCGGCTGCGGCGTGCGGGGCCCGGGGGCGCGGGGAGCAGGCGCCCGGGGCGGGGTGGGG